TTTTGCCGTGGACACCTGTGGAGAGAAAGGCAGAGTGGATGTCACTGTCACCTGAGAACATGGCCCCTCCTCAAGTCTGGAGCTTGGAACCCTTACCTGTAGCAGCTGTCACCAGGAATACAATGATCCAGCTCCATCCCATGGTGAGGACCTGTGTGCTCAGTGACTGTGGAGAGGACACTGATCATGTGTTGTTGGTGGTGTGGACATCCCTGTATTTACATTCATAGACTCACATGATTTGCATATTCATGAGCAGGGTACTTTGTAGATAAGAACCCAGTCCAGCTGGAGAAGAAGGAGGTGGAGGACACCTGGGTCAGGCAGCAGGAAGCTGAGTTCCAAGTCCTCATCCTGTCTGTGGAAGTAGCCATTCCTGGACCTGTGCAGATGCTGTGGATATAATATGAGCCTAATCTCTCAATTTAAAAATAGAAAAAAAAACAAGTCACTATTGTCTTGTCCTGACAAAATTGATTCAGAGCTCCTAAATTGGGAGAATTTCCATTCTTTTTCAATATATAAGCTATTAATATTTTCTTTTCAGCATGTTGTGGATGTGTGTTCCTGGTGGCTTTTTTTGTTTTTTAAAATCCTCTTCTTTTTTGTATTTGTTTGCTTTCTCTACAGAGAAAGAAATTTTGTGGGGTACTGGTAGGAATATGGAAGAGATCTGAAAGGATTTTGGCGTGGAATCTTATCAGAATATATTGCAGGAAAAAAACAGTTTTACAAAAATAAAAAGTAAAAAAAAAATATAAAGAAATGAAGGGGAAAATAAAAATCTATGCAATATGCCACAATGCAGTTGTCTGTGTGAAAATTTTAGACGTCACATATCAACTGTAGCAGGTATTGTTCAGCTAAGAAACTTTAAGAAGGGAGTCCACAGCGGCTCTGGCGTCCCTCCAATTCTCATCTGATTGACATCCTAGTGATTATTGGCTCAACTGTGCCCCCTACAGTTCTTACAATATTTATATTGTTATTATTCTGATAAGAGTATAGACAGTTGTATTGTTCACAATTATCTTGTCACAGCTTCTGTCTTGCTATGTTCCCTCCCTCCTGGCCTGGTTAAAATTCACTTCTCACTGACAATAATCAGGAGACTCTGCCTTGGTGAGTAATATCCTTTGCTTACAAGGTTTGTATCAACGTGACTCATCCGGTTGTTGAAAAAAATATTTGCCCAAAACAAAGCAGAAATAGGTCATCTCACAGTCATTAAATATAGCTTATGCATGTATGTCTTTTCTTCAGTAACCCTGGGAAATATTGAGAAATTAATCCACAGACTTCTGGTGTCCAGAAGTGTGCCTAACCTGCAGGTTCCCTGTGGTCACCCTAAGTCACTGACAGCCATGTGGCCTTAGCTCACCCTGGGGTTAGGGAATACACACTGGATCCCTTGGTTTTCACCTTCACACTGTGATGTTCAATAAACTGTGTTTGTCTTGACCGCACTAACCTACTACTGTGTAGTCATTTAGTTCTCAAAAACATTTTCTCCCACAGCTGAGGTCACTATAATTGAATCCAGAGAAGGCTCAGGACTGGAAAAGTAGATTTTCTTTTCATTTTTCAGATTCCTGAAACCTGCTGTCCTTAACCCTGAACCAACACCAACCATCAACTTCTCCCAGTGATCTTCTCTAACTCACAGGTAAACACTGCAGCTTCCCTACACTCAGCTGAGTCACAGTGCTCACAGCAGTGAGCATGCAGACAACATTAACATGAAAACAGCAGAAAACAGAAAACTGAGATAAGGAACTGTGTTGCCAATGGAAGGAAGATAGAACAGAGACCTGAGATGACATCACCTGGCTGGTGCCCAGTGTCACTTAGACTTTCCACAAGATGGGGAACAAGAAACACCTGCAAAGGAGTCATTACATGGGACTTGGGTTTAAATTAATCCATACAAGGATATAAATTTCCAGCGTGCATTGTGTAAAAATGTGAATTATCTGTACTCCATTAGAGCACTGCCACATGGGAAGCTGGCAAAGGTACACATCCTGTTTCCCGTCTACCTGTGGTAATAGAATTCAATCATGGAAGCTCTCCATTCCATGCCTCATGATAGGAAATAAATGCAGAGATCTTTAGATTATTTAAATTTCCCCGTGATTTCCTGAACTCATCATCACCAAGTCTGAAAGTTAGAGACCTGAAAGGAAAAACATGGAGAGTTTTGTTTTATGTGAATTTGACCTAACAGCAAGTGGCAGATGGGTATCTTAGTTGCTCCATGGGTCATAATGATATGCTTATTACAAAATAAGCAATTATTAATTGTCACAAATAAGTTGTAGCAAAGGTTCCATGGGATTTTTATTACTCAGCATGTGAAACCACATATTCTAAGTTGAAGTTGAAATAGGCATGTCTGTCTGGAAACTCATGGGCACACTCATATGACATGAGGACATCCAGGTGTTTTGAGTGGGCTCAGCAGTTCCTAAAGGGCTATGCATTTCTCAAGATCCTCTGAAGGGTGGTTGTATCTGAGTTCACACCGAAGTGTCCTCCCATGTCTCTGGCACAGTAAGGCATGGCAAATGTTTCAGATATATGAAAACATGTCTAGTGGATTTATTTTCAATGACACTGATGCTGGAGTTGAAGTCCCAAATACAAACTGTTTTCTAGTAGTTTATATATGGTCCCAGATTCTTCTATGACACATTTACAAAATAATGATTATGAATGTAAACGCATGAGAATTTGTTTAATGTGATATTTTAATCACAATACAAAATTTGTAACTTTTGAATGAATTATCCCAACTTTCAGTAGGGGTAAGACCTTCACAGGAGTCTTTGTGTCTCTGTCATGGACATCTAACCTCAGGAAATCCCTGCCCTACATTACAGGACGGGTGATATAAGTGCAGGGATGGGTTGATCACATTTTAGTCTGTGGCACATTTCTTAGGCATAGCAGCAACTGTTTCATGTTAATAATCTAGGAAGTGCTGTGATGTGCACTTGTATCTGAGAGTGGAAGGAATGACGAATGAAACATAGAATTAATATGTAATGGGACAAGTACTCCAATGCCAAGGCCAGCTAACTCTCAAAAAGATGATTTTATAAAAAAAGTATTCCTAAGAGAGGAGAGAAGGCTCAGTTCTTATGTGCTAGCAACAAAACCAAAAAGCCAAGAAATAGTACTATGCACTCTGTCTCCAGTGAGACAGTGAGAAGGATAAAATAAGATATTAAATAAAGATAACATTCCATCCTCAAAGAGAGAAAAAAACCCTGTCTTCTCTGGGATTGGGAGTAGGAAGCAAAGTTACAGGAAACCAGGTGTTTTTCTTTCCACCTCTAAAGACTTAGAGTTCCCGGACTTCGTGAGGGGTGAGCACAGCCTGCTGGCCCAGAGCTTATCTGCAAGGGGGTTTGTGTCTGGGCTCATGCTGAAGTCCCCTCAATGTGTCTCTTGAACAGTAATATGTGGCTGTGTCCTCAGTGGTCACAGTTCGGGTGAAGGAAGAACTGGTTCTTGGCTGTGTCTCTGGTGATAGAGATGTGGCCCTTGAGGGATGGGTTGTGGTTGGTGCCAACACTACATATGTACCCCATCCACTCCAGATTCTTTCCTGAAAACTACCTGATCCAGTTCCAGTCATAACCCCTTGTGATGGAGTGACCAGTGACAGAGCAAGTGAGGGACAGCGACTGTGAGGGCTTCACCTGGCCAGGTCCTGACTCCTGAAGCTGGATCTGGCACAGGACACCTGCAGACAGGAAGAGTCAGTTCTGTCAATCACATGTTGTCACATCCCCTCATGGACACATGTATGAAATGGTCACACTCACCAGGAAGGGCTGTCACCAGGTACAGAAGACCCAACATTGTCATCTTCTAGGCTACACCCCCTTTTCTCAGATTCAGCCTCCTGTGAGAGAGCTGTGAGCTCCCACAGCTCAGGAGGGGATTTAACTTAGAGCTAGAAGACACATTTTCCCTTGGGGAGTCAGCCTAGGCTTCATAAATCCGGAGGTTGAATACAACTCCATTTTCTCATTACTGTGCGTTTTTATCTTGCACAGTACCATAGCTTTGAGCTATGTAATATCTGTAAATATTCATTTCTTGATATATGTGTGTGCTTTACCTTCAAATACTCACATTCACTGTGAGGCTCCTAAGTAGACCTAATACAAGCACAGTTGTCTGTGGATATTCAGTGTTAACAATGAATGCTCTGTGTGCTAGCACTTCCCAGCACGGCTGTCTTCTCCTTCTTTGCACTCTCATTTGTAAGCATGTAAATCACTGGAGTGTTCTTCTCTATGACAGCATGACAGAGCTGACGTTACTGTTTCCAATATGTGATTTCATTATTACTTGTTAAAAATTACTGCATTTATATGGGGCTGTGTTATAATAACTGTAGGATTTTTGTTTTGTTTTGTTTTGCTTTGTTGAGACAGGGATTCTCTGTGTAGCTTTGGAGCTTATCCTGGCACTCTCTGTAGACCAGGCTGGCCTCGAACTCACAGAGACCTGCTTGTCTCTGCCTAGGAGTGCTGGGAGCACCACCAATGCCTGGCTAACTGTAGGTTTTATATCAAGTTAATGATGCTAAACAATGTCCTCTTTCCTATGCATGTGCCTCAATTGTCAACCCAGAGCTGTGACAACAATTCAACCAAAGAACAGAGATCAATTTCCTGTGTGTCTAATCACGAACATCATAATCCTAGTCTTTTAGGAGGCAGATATTTCCTCTGTTGCTGTCTGGGCACAGAAGAACCACTTCCTTGAGCTTTTCTGACACCCTCAGGATGTGGTTTTCACACAGTGTCTCTCGCACAGTAATACATGGCTGTGTCTTCATTCTTGAGGCTGCTGATCTGCAGATATGTGGTGCTGACAGAGTTGTCCAAAGAGAAAAGAATCTGTCCTGTGAAGTCATCAGCATATGTTGTCTTCCCTGTGTAGGTGGTGACCCAGCCCATCCACTTTATGTCCTGTCCTGGTCACTGCTTCACCCAGTGCATTGCATATTGTGTGAAGGTGTACCCTGAAGCCTTGCAGGAGATCTTCACTGACTGTCCAGGCTGCTTCAGCTCAGCTCCTGACTGCACCAGCTGGACCTGTGTTTGGACACCTGTGGAGAACATGGGGAAGTGAGAGGTCATGGAGCTGCCTCAGTTTACCCTGCAGCTCTGAGCTCCGATGTCTTACTTTGTGCAGCTGCCAGCAGGAAAAGGAGCCTCCACACCCACTCCATGCTGTATGAGTTTGGGACTCTGTAGTTTCCTGAGAGTAATCAGGCACTCCCTTGCTGGGTGATGGAGATGAGCCTCAGATTTCTACTACAAAGTCTTTGCATGAGGTTCATTTGCATATGAACAGGTAGTGAACAAAAGTGAATGTAAATCTGATATACAAGGATCCAAGACTTCAGTTGGGTAAAACCATGTCTTTCAGTGTCTGGTGTTTACGTTTTCATACTGGTTGTGTATTCCCCCAGGCCTCTATTTGAGCCTGGTCTACACAGGGACATATGCACCTGTGCACATGTAACAGGGCACTGGTGACCCATGCCTTCTCTTCATCATGAATCTGTCCTATTGTATACACAGCCTCAGGAATTTTATCCTTAGGAGTGTAGACTCCCCTCTGCGCACTGAGACCTCTGCATCAGTCCTTTATGCAAATTGCTTCTGCTTGTGTGCTGTGTGAACTCTTAGGGTCTTCTGCAATCCCATATCAGGTCTAAACATAATTGTGAAGCAGGCAGAAAAAGATACATTTCCATTTAGAACCGTAAAGTCTGTGCTCTCCCTTTACACATGTCATGGAATAAATGCTATAAATTTGAAAAAATGCAAGGGGTTCCATGGGGAGGTTTAGAGGAAATGATATATTAATACAAATCTTAAACATTATTATAATTAAAATGGTGAGTCTGACTTACAATAAAGAACAGTATAGAGGTTTGAAGAGATGGATCAGTGGTTTTAAAAATGTACTGATATCCAAATTACATGAGTTCAACTGCTAGGTAGCTCATCAAGTAGCTCACAACCACCTATAATTATTGATCCATGGGGAGTCAACTTCATCGGCCTCCTTGGGCACCTACAATTTTGTTCATGTACCCACACAAAGACAGGCACACATAATTAGAACTGTAAGTATTTGAAAATAGAATAGTTTAATAATAAATCAACATATGTGAAAAATCTCACACTAAAATGTAAAATAGGTATTCATTTCTTGGAGTGTTGTAACAGACAAAAATATGAAGAAATTGCAGCAGAGAACATGTGTTTGGGATAAACTGAAATCTCATGGCAATCCCTTGCTCAATTTAATATCATTTCTGCTCTCTGTCATCTTAATGTAACAAGATTGCTTGACATTACAGAAATATGACTCTACCTACCTCCCACATTGGTGCTTGTGATGAGATACAAAGATCAACAGTACATTGACTGATAGAAACATAAGGGGCCTGGAGCCATCAGAAGCAGAGCTTTGAACAGGCATTGAGTGGGGAGAGACAGTAGGGATGTCTCACATCTGGTTTCAAAATAAACAGTGTTGTTTGAATGTGGATGGTGGTCTGGGCTGATACTATGGACTAAGGACAGGCAATTATAAGATGGTACAAAACATAAACAAAACAGGAAATGTGGACCAGAGTTCTGTGCGTATAAACCAGATGTTTGTACCGAGCAGTCCATGCTCTGGACAAATAACACAAATGCTATTTGTCAAAGGAAGTCACCAAATGCCAGCTTCAAGGTCTTCCAGTTTCTTCTGCACACTAGGCTGGGAGAGGAAGTCAGGGCTCACAGGAAGTGCTCTCTGGCCTTCTGTGCACTTGCTCAAGGATCTAATTGAAGCCATGGAGATTTGGCGCCCCCTGATGGAACACTGGCCCCCTGCATCATGCTCATCCCTGATGGCCAGAGCATCATGGCTCCCTGTAAACAGAACAATGTCCTGCCTCAGAGCCACTCCAGGGTTTGGACTTGGGGAATGTGAGACTTCAGAATTACATGATTTTCTGATAATTTCAGATTATGCTTTAAAATCATTTTTGTTTACTTCTGTTATTTGCATGTGGATCTCATAAACATCGGTGACTTCTTGTATCAAGTGAAACCATTTGTCTACCAACAGCATTTAGATGTAGCCATTGGCAGATATTAACCTCACCTTTGATAGATGATTTGTTTTCTGTTGTGATGTGGCCTAATTTCTGCCACGAGTGTACACATATGTGTCACACAAAGTGACATAACTTTGAGTCTTCTTCTTAGATGTTTCTCTCCACATCTCAACAGGACAGGGGACAGGATATTATTGTCTCTGATGTCTTACTTGTTTCTATCTCATCATGTCATCATCTCTGTGCCTCACTCATAACAACAAGTATGCTTTCTTCATGGGAGTGTACCATGTACTTTATCATTCATAGGGTTATTAATTTCAGTTCAAATCATTGTTTGTCATTTATTTCTTTTTGTTCATCATCCTCACGTTTTGTGTGAAATTCACATGAGAAACCATTTCTGTGAGCAGAAACCTGGAAAATACAGGGTTAACACTACTGGTGATACCTCAGGTCTCTGATTCCTAACATAACTGCAGACTCAAAGGAAGCCATGAATCCCTAATTCACACGCAGGTTCCCAGGTCCCCCTCTTCATTTGCCAGACCATCTCAATGTTGTCATCTGGCCTTGATTCTCACTGAAATGGATATGTGATGTATGAGATAATAGTCTGTGTTCCTTTTCACTTTCAACCTCCTCCGGATTCATCCACAATGTGGCAGAGAAATCACTACATGCACGCTACATGTTGAGAGACAACATGACATTTTAAGGATAACACACATGTTCAGTCATTCAACAGTTGATTGTTTAAGGTGTAGGGTTCCATACATTACAAGGCTATGACTACCTGTGTAAAATTCTTGTAGGAACCCCAAACTTTTGTATTTTGTGGAACATTACAAAGAGCCAAATCAATGGACCAAACGCTAACTTTTTTGTTTGGGATCTTGAGACTATCTCTCAATTCTCTCAATCCATATAGAATTCCCTTTCATTCTCTCTCTTTCATCTCTCTCTCTCTCTCTCTCTCTCTCGCTCTCTCTCTCTCTCACTCTCTGGAGCAGGCGGGATGGGCTGGGGAGGATGGGGATGGGGATCGGGTGGGGGCGGGAGGAGAGTTGGCCGAGGAGGAAACGGGGCACTCCCGCAGCCCTGCTTCCCCTCATCCCGCTGTCCCTGCTGCAGCTGCGATTGCAGATGTTGGGGGGCACCCCTTGAAAGACCCCCGCCCCTTAGCTCTCTCTCTCTCAAGTTTGCCTCCTCCTCCGGTCGGCGGCTGGCGGGGGGGCCGGCGGGAGGGCTGCTAAAGATTTTCAAAGACTTGGATGTATTTGTTATAAGCTTAGTGAATGATAACTGTGTAGTCCAATAAATTGCCATCATCTCCAAAGATTAATCCTTGAAGATTGAGTGGAACCCCCTGGATTAGGGACCACAAACTCTTAATCTTCAAAAAATACAACAGACAGATTTTCATATCTGAACAATTATTAAAAGGGGCCTCGTTTGTATAACAGGAAGCCAAGGATCTGAAACTCAGAATGAAGAGGAAACCACAGAGGCTAGGAGGAAATGTTTGCCCTCTACCAACACTGTGACAGATTGATAACCAGCCTGGGATACTGTCAGCTGAGGCTGTGTCTCTGTGTTCCCCGAGCACAGTAGTATGTGGCAGTATCTGCAGTGTAGGAACCCCAAACTTTTGTATTTTGTGGAACATTACAAAGAGCCAAGTTGATGGACCAAACGCTAACTTTTTTGTTTGGGATCTTGAGACTATCTCTCAATCCATACAGTATTCCCTTTCATTCTCTCTCTTTCATCTCTCTCTCTCTCTCTCTCTCTCTCTATCTCTCTCTCTCTCTCTCTGCTGTTTTAAAGTCCTGTGGTTGTGCACAGTTGTGTACAACGATGAGTGTGTTTGTGTGTATACACACATAATAGAGTCAAGAGTTAGTCCTTGGGTATCTTTCACCTCCTACCCTATAACCCGTATTTAATATAGGGTTCCTAACCAAACATAAAGTTCATCAATTAAGCACAAAGAGCCTGTCCATAAGCTTCTGTCCAAAACTGCCTGTCCCCAGTGTTGGAACTATAGTAACCCACACTCATTCACAACTTTCATCAACTGAAGGGATCAGTTTAAACAAATTTCCATGATGAACAGAGATGAAAGTCATGCATCAATAAAATGAATTACTTAAAAGCACAGCTGGGTCACACCTGAACTGAAGCCCACAGTCCTCGATTAGAGGAGAGAAGGGAAGGTTCCAGACATGCCAGGGCTGATGGTAATGATCTTGCCCCCACCTATCCCTTAGTTTTCACTCAAACATACATCTTATGAGCACTATAATCAAGAAATCTGACCAAGGCTCTGCTGAGAATATGAAAAGTCTCAGGAGTTTCTACAAACTCCTGATGATGCCATTACGTGACTATCTCAGGGTCTTTCATGTCCTCACATGAATCTAGTTCATACGGGACTGTGCTTCATATTTTTAAAATAGTACAAAGAGAACATGTAATGTTTTGAGGACACTGTATCCCTTCAGAGCATATGTGTAGAGAGAATTTACAGGAAACAACAGGAAAAAGTGCAGCCCAGAACCTGACAATGGTGCTTCCTCTAACCCTGTCTGCATAATCTCCTGGGATGAACCTGTGTTCAGCGTGTGCTGTGCGCCCCCTGGTGGCCGTGAGTGGCCTCACAGTGAGGTTTATGTCTGGGTTTACACTGAGATCACTTACTGTGTCTCTAGCACAGTAATAAGTGGCGGTGTCCTCAGACTTCACACGGTTCATTTGCAGAAATAGAGTGTTCTTGGCATTGTCTCTGGAGATGGTGAACTGGCCCTTCACAGTTGGTGCATAGTTTGTGGTACTGCCATCATAATTAATATCTCCAACCCATTCCAGCCCCTTCCCTGGAGCCTGGCGGACCCAGTGCATCTCGTCGATACTGCAGGGGAATCCAGAGACTACACAGGAGAGTTTCAGTGACCCCCCCCAGGCTTCACCAAGCCACCCCCAGACTCCAAAAGCTGTGCTTCACACTGGACACCTGCAAACATAAAAAATCCTGATCAAGAAATCGTCACATATGTCCATTGTCCCTCATATTAATGTCCACTCACACAGTCAGCATCTACTGCTCTCCATAAATTACCTTTTAAAAGAGCAATAAGGAAAATGCAGCTCAGCCCCAACTCTATGCTGATCCCTGAGTGAAGTCTTGGGATCCACAGCTGAGCTCCTCTGCTTTAGCTGCTAAGTGAGGGCTGGGCTGCTTTTCATCAGCAGAGAGAGGGCCCATTTGCATGTCTTCCTGCTTTTTAGCAAGCTCTGCAGTGGAGCCTGGAGATGGCAGATCCTAGATTGTTAGTTTGCTGGGTTTATAATGTTAATGATGGAAAATTGGCATACATTTACTCATTTCCAGTTGACATCTACTTTCTAATTAATCTTTGCAAACAGAAGACATGTTCTGATCTTCATTTCAACTCAGCTTTCCATGGTATAGTTAATAAATAGCAGTAACTTTGCTTTCTATTGCTCATTTAGTTAATGTTAGATTACTGTGTGGGCCTCATCATTGAAGGACATAAAACTTCCCAAGTCTGCTCCAGCTAGAGTGTAGCAGCTTCCTCAGAGTGAAAACTCCCTCTCTGTATTGGGATCATGAGAAGTGCCTGAATCCCAAGTGCTCTGCTAAGCACCTGCAGTTAAATGATTTTCCTTTATAAGTGTTACCATCATCATGTGGTGTCTCCTCACAGCAATAGAAACCCTAATATGATGGAAGTCATCTCAAATTTTATGTGGTTATCACCCAAAGGACTAATGGAAAGAAGGGTTGTCAAGGACTTGGATGACATGGGAACCTCATGCATTGCTTGTTGGAATATGAATTAGTTCAGATTTTAATAGGAGCAGAATGGAGGTTCTTAAAATATGGTCAACAGAATCATCCCAAAGAACTCTCACACTCCTGGGTACTTACCATTTACAGGAGAAATATCTTGTCTCTGGATTCTGAGAGCCTCAGAATCTAAGGCAATGTGCAGTTTGTACATAACCAGTGCTTGTCCCAGGCCTCATGAGACAAGATTGGGGTCTTCCCTGCTAACAGTTGGGTCCAGGTCATTTACTACCCACTGCTACTATAGAATGACTACAGAGAATTATGGCATGCTAAGTCACTGTACATTTGAAACTTATTATCTTGTTATTGCTAGAGCCATCACATTTCTCAAGGAACCATGGGGTTGGTCGAGTTTATATCCCTTTAGAGGCACATGTCAGAGGTTTTCAAGTAAGTGTCTTTGGCTCCTGACACTCGGTGACTTCCATCCTTGGTAAACCAAAGCACTCCCTCAGTCAGATAAGATTTTAGGCCACCTCAGCTTCTCTGTGTTCCCAAGAATGACTGTTTACTTTGCCTAATCCTGAGAGTAGGATGTCCAGATAAATCCAGATAAAAGTAAGCATGGATGTTTGGATTGGCATCATCACACTTCTTAGAATTTGAAGGTATATAAAATGTTATATTAATTTCATAACTACAGGTAGAGGTACATTAAGTGAAATGATCCCACTTTGATATCAGCTATGATAAGGGCAAAGCATTGGGGGAAATTTCATTTAATGTTTCCCTTGCATGATGTCAGGGCCCTAGTGCTCAGCTGTTCTATAGAAAGGACCTTTATCTCAACCCAGACCCCTGATGATCCAGGACTGTGATTGTCTGAGATATGTTTTACACTGGGGATGGACCTGCCTAAGAGAGAAAAGGCTGAGCAGAGGAGTGTGTGGTCCTTCTGACTGAGGAAAGGAGTGACAGAGTGTGTCAGTGTGGGCTTGTTTTTCGAATAGCCAGGCTATTCCTTAAGATTTTTTTCTAACTTCAGGATTGTTAATCAGTTGTGCTTAACATTACCGGAGAGAAGCAGCTGGCACCAGTCAGTTGCATGCCTTCTCTTCTAACATTGGTTAGAAGTGGTATGATGTCCTGAGGACTTTAATTTCAGAGGGTGCAGTCTCTAGACAACACCTCCTTAAAGATTTATCCCAGCTGGGCATTGGAGGCACACGACTTTAATCCAAGCACTCGGGAGACAGAGGCAGGAGGATCTCTGTGTTTAAGACCAGCCTGGTCTCTAGGGCGATTACCAGGATAGGCTTCAAAGCCACAGAGAGAAACCCACTCTCAATAAACAACAAAAAAGAAGATTTATCCCTACAAGTCAGGGTGCTGGATGGGGTTACCCTGGAATTTCAGCTTCTTCTGCTCTGATCTGAGCAATGTCTATAAAAAGGATTCACTTCAAAGTCCATTATGGTTCTGTGCTGATGGCTCTCATGGTGACAATGTACAGGAGTCTTTTCCTTCTTCCTCTGTGTGGGTTCACAGAGACAGCCTCCTCTCACAATGGAATTCATTCACAAATATCTGTGCTCTGTGGGATGGAGGAGAGATGGTGTGAGCGTCCTCTCCTGAGGTAGATTAATGTGTCACGATGTGTGCTGAGCGGGTGCAATGTGTGTGAAACTGTGTAGGGTTTTCATTGGAAATATGCACACATTGATTCCTAGCATTCTCAGCCAAACTTCACTCTGGGGATCATTTCTCACTTCTCTGCCTGGACTCTCTTTCAGTAATCATAAAAACCAACAGTTTCTTCAGTTTCTGTGCTGTATTTGATGCTGCTGAACCACTGAATGTCCCAAGTGCCACTTGCACTACCCCTGGGTCCCTTTGCAGACAGGATTGCATCTGGGACCTGGATCATAATAACGTCTCATTCTGATTCTCCAACAGATGGAGACTCTATGGTGTCCTCCGTGGTCAGATATCTCATCTGAAACAAAAAACACTACAGATGTGTTTCTGGAGATGTCTGGAGTGTCTGCTCTGCAAGTTATGTTTAGAATGGTTACAGATGACTTCTACACTCCGTTCCTCCATTACATCATGGGTCAGTATTGTGAGAGGAGCATGTCTCCTGATGAAACACCTAGACTGTACAAATCAAGGAAAATGTCTGTGAAGACTTATTAGACTTGGACACCATCTTTAAGTTCTTATGGATGGGATACCTGATATCAAATCAACCACTGAAAATCATCAAA